AGGTAGTTGAAGACTGCTATTAAATCCCCTCTCAGCCTTCTCTTCTCCAAACTAAATAAGCCCAGTTCCATCATCCTGTTCTCATAAGTTATGTCCCCCAGCCCCCTCACCATTTTTATTGGCCCTTGCTGGATTCTCTCCAATTTGTCCACATCCTTCCTATAGTGGAGGCCAAAAACAAACTACATTTTACTTCAGAGCATGCATTACTATAAATAAATAATAGAAACTAAACAATAGTTGACCAAATGGTTGACCAAGATTGCGTTGGTACCATGCTATTCTTGCTGTCCATTTTTTGCTCATTCAACTCACGCAAAAATGGGACATTCTCAGGCATTCTCCTAGTCAATGGTGCAAACTAATCAATCCATTCTGTTTTGCATTTTCCTACTCTGTACACCTTCATTCATTAGATAAATGCTTCCCGTTGGTCTATTCATCAATCACTTCACCTGTGCTCTGGTGGGAATAGCATGGGAGTTCTGTTTTGAAAAGATCTAAACATGGCCCTAGATTCTTCTCTGCAATGTGCCTATTTTGAATGTCAGGGTGTTCTCCCCTGGCACAGAGCTGACCTCAGGGCTTCCATTCTCTTCAGCTCCTTGCCTCAGAAAGAAGAGGGGCACTTGATCCCCACCTGCAGTGCCATCCATTCAGGGACATTGGCAGCCAGCATGAATGTTAGAATGTGCTGCAGGAGTACTTTTAATACTTTTCAGGGGACCAGTGTAGTGCACAGCCAGTCTGAGGATGAGTGAATGGCAGATGTTGCTTGGAGCTTTCTATGCATTTGCCTTCTCCTGAAACATGCTATGCATTTCTTGGCCACATATGAGGAACTGGGTCAGTATTTTGCACTGAAACAAACCATATTTTCTCACATACCATATGCCGCCAAATAAAGTACCTTGTTTTTGAAAAGCAGAATACAGAAAAAAGATATTTCTTTGAAAATACTGGTAAGTATGGGATTTCTCCAGGGGAAAAAAACAGGCAGCTGCACTTGTAAGGAAGCAACACGTTACAACTGCTCTGTTAACCCCCTAGCAGAAGGATTTACAGGTGCTGCTGACTAAGCCAAACTACCCAACCTCCATTTTCTTCTCAAGCTGGTCTGGGTGAGCAGCCAGCAGCACCTGCCAGGTCATCCCAGGGCCCAATCCTAGCCAGCAGCACCTGAGGAGTCAGCTGGGGACCCAGCCAAATGATTCAGCCCCAGGACCTGGGGCTTAGCCTCTGCAGCATGAATCTCTGCCCTCTTCTCCCCTCTGCGTGGCCAGGCTGGGGCCAAGCCATGCCCCCGTTTCCCTCTGCAGAGCCAAGCTACACCCCCTTTTCCCACAGAGCCAGATTGGGGCCATGTCATATGGGGCCGGATTGCGGCTGGGCCATGCCCCTTCCTCCTGCAGGGCCAAGCAACACATAACGTGTAGCAACATAACGTGTAGCAACACAGAACACTCACAATTGGAAAATGAGTTGCCACGGATTACCACACTTATTTTATTTTGAATGGAGTTGGGGGGATAACATATTATGTGTTTGCATGTAAAAGGTCAGCCTTGAAGTTCAGGGGGTACTGGACTGAGAGGCTAGAGATCTGGGTTCTAGACCAGTGTTTCTCAATCCATGGATCACAACCCAAAAGTGGGTCACAAGAATATATGAAAGGGTTGCGAACAAGCTTTAAAAATAGATCAAATAACTTTGAAAATGGATTCTCATTTAAAGGAGGAAAATATGGGAAACCAGAATTCCAGCCTGCAGGGAGCTGCTTGGGGCTCATCGTGTCCTACTTACGCATCCCCTTGCCCCACATCCTGGGGGGCTGGAGCCTGGCGGTGGTGGGTAACAGGTTGGGAGTGTGGGGTACAGGCAAGGCCAGGGGGCTGTTTTCTACTTAAACTATTTACTGGGTTGGGACTGGTCGTCACTGTTTATAAATGGGTCCTAGTTTAAAAAAAAAAAAAAGGTTGAGAACCACTGTTCTAGACCATCTTTTGTTCAGTGGCTTCTTTTGTGACTAGGCAGGCCTTTGTTACCTTTCATACCCTTCCTCTTGTCAAGGGCTTTGAAGCACAGACACTGTGTATATAGTGTAGCTTCAGCCTCTCTAGGATTTTTACACGCTACCGTATTGTCAGTAATAATAAGGTTGTTAGTAAATGCTGACTTTTTCATGCCAATCAATTGTACACTATCCTGGCAGTTAATGACAGGTTGCACATTTCTTATGGGTGAATTAGCTAATGAATTTAGGCTTGTTGTAAGCCCTCATCATTTCACAGAAAACCTAACCTTGTGTCATGTGTGTTTTTGCTTTCTGATTTCAGGATGAAATTTTGACTGTCATCAGGAGAGTAGATGATAACTGGGCAGAAGGAATGCTAGGAGACAAAATTGGCATTTTCCCCATCCTCTATGTTGAGGTAAGTTTGTAGTTACTTGGGTGTGCTTTCTTTTACCTTTGGTGTTTGTTTAAGCTGGCACCAGGTCAGAATAACCTTGGAGTTTCTTAAGAGGCAGACTAACTATTTGAGAATAGCTGGAAAGAGAAACTTTTTTTCACGTGTTTTGCTGTTAGCTACCCAATGAATACACTTTTATCCTCGCCAGTTTAATTTTAAACCAGCTGACAGGATGTGTGCCTGTGAACTGTCAATGACTTCCAATCAGGAGCTTTTGGTTTAATCTCAACCATACAGATGGAAAATAGGAGAGGACAATCACAATAGAGGATTTTACTCTGCAGCTTGCTTTGCAGTCACCTTAGAAAAAGAATGTGCTGATAACTGCACTTTCCATCGCCCTGCATTCCATTTTCCATGGCGTTTCCTGTTCTTTGCCTTCTCTGCAAACTATTTATGGTTGTTATCAGAAAGCACAGTAGGAGCAACTGAAGTAAGGGCTGGCTATGCTTTGAAAGCATAGCCCTTCACTGGGAGCAATGTAGGGCCCACTGCCCTAGCAAGAGCTCTAGTGGCACACCCACTGTGCCACCCTCTCATAGGTGACACTTGTCGAGATCCCCAGCTGATATAAATCAGGACCACTGTATTGTTTTGAATGGAAGTACACTGGTTTACGCTAGGTGAAAATATTTGGCCTAGTGTATGCTCCTACCAAAACCCCAGCCAGCTCACCTTTGGGGTGATTAATAGAGCTATCCTGCAAAGGAGGCCATCCTAATTGTGGGGGTCTGCACAGGGAGAAAAGACTCATGTATCGTACAAATGGAGGGTTTGAAAGTGTTCTGCACTAGCCTGTAGCAGGTCATTGCTGTGCCTCTGCACCTCTTCTGTAAGACTTTCATTAATATTTTTGTTAAATATCTTCATATTGCATGTATACTTGATATTTCCCTTGAAAGATTTGAACTGTATTTTGAGCACTTTCTTTACACAGTTTTCATTTCAGAATATCAGTCTGCATCTGTTTTCCTCCTCACAGGCCAGTTCAATGCATCCTTCAGTGCAGGCAACTTGTATGCGTCTCGTGCTTGGGTAATTAATCTGTAGTGTGCCCTGCTGCTGTATGTCCAGTACACAGAACTGTCTTGGAATGGGCCTGATCTCCGATGCATGCTGGTATAAGTCCACTGGCTCCTGCAGAGTCATTTCTTACTTAACATCTGGGACTGACTGCAGAATCTAGCCCACTGTGTGCAGCATTAATGTGATGTCCCTTAGAAATCAGTGCTTCTCTAAATTTCTTTGTTAATGACTTGAGACAAAACAAAGATAATTAGCACTGTAACTGCCTGATTATTAACTTTGACAATGACCAATTATAAGAAAGCCATTGTTAATATAAATTGGATTCAACAACTGGCAAGAACTATATTAAATGCGAATGGGTAGTCTCTGCTGGAAAAAACATTTGTTTTGTAGAAACTAATGACTGGAGATTTTTCTTTCTTGGTAAGCAAGGCAACTGAGCAGGACCTAAGCACATCAGCAACACAAACCTGAAATTCCCCCCGCTGGAAAGGCCACAAAATCCCTTAGGCAACTCAATTGGTTCAGCATCTGCATTTTGGACTACAAAATTCCTTGTGTGCCTGAACTCAGGCTCCAAAGCACACCCAGACATACCCTGCATTGAGTACTGAGAGTCTGTAAATAGCTAGGCAAGAGCAGACAAACAGGTTACAGAACCAGTGGAAGACCTTACAGCTTTTTAAATAGACCTGAATGCGGAGCTGTGGAGTGCTCTCAGAATCAGAAATTTCATTGCTGCAGCGTGCTGCCTGCCTTATGCATCAGCTTTCTTGGGTGTGCTTATAGAAAATGATCTTCAAGTGACTGTGCAAATTAATTAATATACTTTGCCCTGGCTGCAGCTGCAAATTTCAGGTGAAGTAGTAGAGGAAAGTGCTGTATTCACCTGGAGAGTCTGAGTATAATCACCACTGAGCTGAGTCTTGTAACCACTGAGGGTGACTGTTTTCACATTCTGATATTTCTTTGTATGGTAAATTAATGGGGATAGAATATCTAGATCTAGCCTTAATTTTTACCAAAGAAATGCTTAAACCCTAAAACATTCAGATATCTTAGGCTAAGATCTTCAAGACTACCCGTGAGATTATGGGTACCCATGATTTACCCATGTGAGTATTCTTTGCTTATATGAGCAGTCCATTTGGACTGAATGGGATTGCTTCCATGGATCTGTCTGGGTATTTATATCATGCTGCTTACAATGGAATCTTTAAGGACTACTGACAGGAACAAGTACTGATGGATTTTAAAACACTAGGCTCTCACTAGGTAATTCATATTTCTACCACCCATCTCCACTGACTGCCCAGAAGTCTGGAACACCCCTAAGGCATGAGCAACATTCCCTACCTTGAAGTAATGGTTTCTGATGTCCAAGCCTACTATCGCTGGACAAATAGCCCACGTCCACATGTGGTGTGGACCTTTGGTTCCCTAGTAACAACTAGTGCCTCCACACCTTGTGCCATCACTAGTTGTCCCTGGGGAATGCCCATGCCACATGTGCTTTGGCGCTCAGTAAGTTACCCTGGGTGGGATAGAGGAGGCTGGGGCCAGCAGCCTCACCTGGGGTCCTGAGGGCCACCTAGAGCTGCAACCACAGCAATTCTGTCATACAGAGCCTGGCTGGCAGCTGCAACAGAGCTCCAGGTAGCCTGGCTCTGCTTTTGAGCGGCACATACTGCCCCCATGTGCGCCACCCCACCTTTTTTTCTGCAGGTTTTTTTGACCTCTGAATATCCAGGGGTCAGAAAAATCCACTGTGCTGCTCCGTTGCAGCATAGAGAACAACTGAATGTATGGTACGTGGCACTGCAGATGCATAGGTGGTGGAAGAGGGGCTACTGGGGCTCAGCCTCCCCAGATGCAAGGCAGCAGGTATGGCCACAGGGCATCTCGACTGCAGGCTCCCAGCTGCTGCAACGCTGGGGAAAGGAGTACACACTCAGAGATGTAGCTGGGATTACAGCCAGCCAGGATTGTAGCCTGCGTGTGTGGCTGCCCAGCACGGCAGGCAAGTTTTAGTCTACTTTCTTTATGAAGGGGAAGGGGCTTTGAGGGAGCAGATAGAGACCCCCCCAGGAAGGAGTGGGGCAAGGGTGAAAGGGGCTCTGGCCAGGACAGGGCATGCATGGTACAATCAAAGCCCATCAGTACATCCAGGGGCACGGGGAGTCTTCTGCTGCTGCGTGCACCGCAAGGGAGAAATTTTGCCTCATTCAAGATATTCTCTGCCTGAGAGGAGGAAGAGAGCAGCATCAAAGCAATATTGTAACTGAGCAACAAAGAGCATTAAAAATAAATAAATCAACATGTATCTTCCTTTTGCAGTCCTTTAGGACTCCTGGATCTCTGCAGTATCATTTGCAGTTATATATGAAGCCATGACATTTACCGTACAGTATGGTTCTTTGTACTCCTTTACATTTCTAAGAGCTATTGTTGAACCATCCAATCTGACATGGCAGGAAGTGTCATTGTGGCATTAGAGCCCATTGTGCCTTATTACTGGTGCAGGTGGAGCCTGATTCTGGGCTCCCCCTGTACCAGAAAGAAGATCGCAGCTGCTGTTATCTCCCAGCCTTAGGAGTGTATGAAATACCTGGGGCTGGGAGACCACAGCTGCTGTGTCTTGCAGGACCAGAGGTTCCACACACCTCTGGAGACTGAAGCCACCAACTGCCAGGACCCACCTGGATCCCAGCATGGGGAGGCAAACAGCAGGGACCCAGCATCCACAGCTAAAGGACACTGGGTCCTGGCAGCTACAGGGTGTTGCCAGGACCCAGAGTTAGCAGCTCTTGGAGCTGAGGAGTCCTCTCAGTTGTGGGTCTCCCAGTCGCAGCTAGACATGGTGCAGCCCTGTGGCTGAGAGGCTTGTCAGCTTATGCAGCTCTCTCCCATGGAGACTATCCATATTAAAGCTCAATATCAATCTATAAAATTAGTATACATTTTCAAGGTCTAACTTTATAGATGGTTGGAGCTTGTATGGCATGATTGGTAAGGCTGTGCAAAGCTTTGGTAACTGATTTGATTTGGAGGAGATTCGGCCCGATTCGGGGACTGAATCTCCAAATCCAAATTGAATCAGGAGAACCGAGTAAAAGCTCTGAATTGGTTTGAAGCATCTGAATCAATTCAGAACAGCTTTGGAAAAGATTCCGCCAAT